GAAACCCCGTGTTAGCCTTGTAGCTCAGAGATGCTAACACGCGTTCGGCCGAAGCACACACATTATTACTCACCAGATCCCTCCGCCTGCCCTCTCTCCGGGAGGGCAAAGCATGTACCCGTGAATCGGAGCTCGTGGCCCGCGTAGCACGCTGCACGCCCTTCTCTGGGGGCTGCAGGCCTAGCGGAGCCACGTTATGTGCTCGAGAAGTAACACAATCAGAATTCAGATCATTTGACATGTTACATACCCCCAAATGAGACTCAGACAACGAGTACTGATGAAATGCCGGACGGCTTTTATTGAAAGAATTCTTCCCACCCCGACCTCCTCTGCCATAGGGAGGTCGTCGGTGGGTGCGTTGGTCCCGCGAGCCTCCCGTGTGCCTGTCTGGGCCCGGGGGCCTCGTCGCTGGGGAACGATGAGCCCCGGAGCGTGGATATGGCCCGGGGCGCCTGCCGGGCGAGCGCTCCCTGCCTCTGTCTTGGCTCCGCGCTGGTGGGCGGGCCTCGCGCCTCGTTGCTAAGTGCTGGGCTAGGCTAGCAGAGTCCTTAGCTGCGGTGTCCAGCCTAGTCATCAGGGTCTGCATCTCCGGACCGAAGAGCGACGTCTGGGAGATGGGCAGGTCCAGCAGCTGCCTCTTCTCCGCCTCTCTGAGGTTCACCGGCCCCAGCCAGAGGTGTCTGGCCCCGACTTGTGCTGCCGCCATAGTGCGGCCGCCATCGACAGCTAGCGCCTGGCACATGCGCAGGATCGCCGCTGAAGTGGTCCTTGCCTGAGATAAGGTGTCTCCACTGAGCGCCTGGCCAGAAGAGAGCGACCTATCCAGGGCCCCCGTGATGAAAGCCATGTTGTTCGCCACGGCGACGACCTGTGCCGCATTGGCGTAACATCTGTCGTGCATCGCCAAAGACATCCTGTCCCCCTCGGAGGGAAGGAGAGGTCTGGTGCCGGGCCACACGGATACGGAGGGGTGCAGGGCCGCTCGAACCGAATCCTTGATGTCCGGGACCCCGCCGGTCCAGGACCAGTCCTGCACGTTGCAGTACATGCCGTACCCCAAAGCGGGCCTCTTGGCTGCTAGGGGCTTTGGCCACTCACGTGTCGCGTAATGGACGATCGGGTTCATCCGCGGGCACAACGTGGGCTGCGCTCTCCTCCTCCCTCGAGGGGTGGCGTAACCAGAGGTGAAGTCCTCCACCCTCTGGTTCGGTTGCGGTGGCAGGGGGGCATCCATGATGGCCGCCGCCGTGGAGTAGAGCCCAGGCATGTGGTCCAGCGGGAAGCGGTCCGGCTCCGGGTTGGACACCACCTCGTCCAGCGTGAGGAGAGAGCCGACCTCCGAAACCTCTCCGTCCTCGCAGTCACCCCACTCCGCGGGCACGGGTGGAAGGTCGAGAGGGGCCCAGTCAATCACAGACTCCTCGTCCTGAGAGGAGTCCGGACGGGGCGCTGTAGCGGCGAAGAACGCGCGCCTGCGTTCACTCTCCTCCCTGGGGAGAGCGAGACACGAGGCGCAGGTGGCGCTCAACGCCGCATGGCCCGAACCCAGGCACACGAAGCAGCTGGAGTGCTGGTCCTTGCGCTGGAGCTTGACCCGACAAGTCGAGCAACGACGACGTCCGACGCCGGATGGCGAAGGGGAACTCGGACGAGCATCAGAAGACATCTTTTCCTCAGGTAAATTGAACGGTAGATCTCAATCGGCGCCAGAGTGAAAGAGGGGGTGCGGCCTTGTGCAGGGGCATTTATAGAGGAAGGTGGCTGGTGATTGGAGCAAATTATTTTGATCTTTCTGGCGTGTGACCTGGGGGTCACGAGTGATATCCCACTAGCGAAGTCCTAAGGGACGTAGCACCATGACGTAGAACCATCATTCTTCCCCAGTCATATTTTTAACAATGCTAATAGTCTCACATGTGGAAGATCATTATCATTGGGTTCACCTAAAATAATTAGAGTAGCAGTCATTAGTTTCACAGGCGATCAGATCAATCATTCCTGACAATACAGATGCAATGGTAACGGTGACATTGAGGTGACAGGTGGGAGAAAACTTGAGTGAACACTGGACTCTATAGCTGATCGACTCTATGAATAATACATGTGAGCATTCATTATTCACATGAACAGAATTAGGAGTGAAAATGTGAAGCCGGGATCAGCCACAATCAGTTTTTCCACTGTACAGATCTAAGTAATGTCCCAAAAACAGAGGCGGAGGTAGTTTTTATTCCTTTTGTCAATACTTCACAACTTATTTTATTGTTTAATGTGTCAATGTTTAAATTTTACGTCTCACTTTAAAAGTCAAATATCTGAACTTCTTTCTCCTTACATTTTGAAACAACTAGTTATTTTGCAGATGGAAACATAATAGGTTTGAAGTGGTTATTCATGCTTGCTATTGGTTTCATTCATTACCGTTAGGGTTTGTTAAATCAGTTCTACACGTTTTATCATTTTCATCTCTGCTAGAATTAATAATTCATACAACGATAATGTTGATAGTGTTTCAAAGGCAATGCTTAAAATGTTTGTATGTATTATACCCACAGTATGTCTGCTCATCTTTTATTACTTTTAATAATCCAACCCTTGTGCTATCCTCGGGTCAAATTGACCCGCCAGTGATTAAAAATTACCTTAACATTTTTTGAATTTTGATTTTACCTAAATTGACCAGCCTTGGATCATTTAAATACTATACTTTAACAAATACTTACTGTACTAGTACTTTTGGCACGTCTACCATCAATATTCTAATAATGATATATTATAATTGATATATTATGTAATTAGTAGGGCTGTCAAACGATTAATTTTTTTTAGTTGATTAATCGCATAGTAATGGTGAGTTAACTCACGATTCATCGCATTTTTAACATTCTATTTCAAATCCACTCCAATTGAAGTTAAATGACATTTTCAAATGTAATGACACATTGTTATTCATACCAATGTACTTAAGTCTGTTTGACTTGCTCACAACCTTCTACTTTTGGATACAATCAACAAGAGCTGTTAATGAAAGGGAAAATGTAGGTACCCCAGATTTAATTTTGCGAGTTTGGTTGCATTTCAGCGTGTCTCCTCCTCTCCTCCGTGTGTCACACAACATCAGAGAATGGCCCCTGTGCGTGTATATATATGCGTGTATTATATGACCACGTTACCGCTGTCACCATCACACACACGCACGTGTCCACGGCATTCTGAGTGATATTTTTATAAATGGGCGGGTCATTCGGACATGCGATTGACTGCCAGCCTATTTCAGAACTCCCATATTGCCAGCCGTTTCTGATGATTTTTACTGAATTTTTAAGACCCACAGAATATTGTGTACTATGACTATCTAAATTCTGAAAGAATGGACTGTCTACTTTCATCAGCAAAAATAATTTAGTTTCTAGCTTGTTTCGTTCCCCAGTCGAGTAGAGGTCAGTTTTATTATCTTATCTAGCTTCTAGCTGTTTTCAAACCATTCATAGAGCAATGCTGCCATCTGCTGGCTCGATAAAATATTGCCTCAAGCCTTACATCTGGGAACGTGAAAATAGCGGGAAACGCAATTGACAGTGGCAGTTAATGCGTTAATTATTTTTTTTTACGCGTTAATGAAAACGGTAATTAACGTGAATTAACGCGATAATTTTGACAGCCTAGTAATTAGCTAACTTTACTATTACCAAGGTAAATTTAGAGATAAGTAGACAAATCTTTTATTTTGGCCAAGGAATGATGAAAAAGTACCCTTTGTTGCTTTTTAATTTAGGATATGGCTCAGTAGGTTGTGTTTTAGAAAACAGATTGTCAGTCACACTGCATATGGAGACCCCTGCTGGAGAAGTGGTAACTCCAGCACTATCCTCTGCTTCATCATTCAGCTGTAGTCTGTTCATTGCCATTTGACACTGTCCCATTTTCTGCTTCATGGTGTGATGAAGAGGCCCCTGAATCTGGCTTCTATTATATAAGGGCAATTATAAACATTTCTGGACATTTCTGGTGATCACTCTCTCACACATCATTCTCTGATCTGTTGTTGAGCAATTGATAACTTTGTAAAGTCTTCCAAGACGACTGCTGTTGTGGTTTAGACTATACAAATATATGTTGAATATACATATTTTTACTCCAATCCCTTTGCAAATGTCTCATACATTTTGTCTCCTTTTGTACACTGTAGCGTCCATGTTCATACCAGCACGACGACACCACATGGTACAAATTATTTTATTGTAAATGCTTCAAATTCTACACGAGTGGTTATAGACTTGACAAAAGGGCTAAAGAAAAAGTACCAAAAATAAATACATTTGCGTTAATGGAGATATGTCTGGAGTTTTTGCACTTAAGCTGATATGAGTCTAGTAAAACCTTCAGCTAGAAAAATAAAGGCATTGTTTGAAATCTGACACGAAATAGCAAAATATTGGAATTCATACTGCATGATATTTCCTCTTCGGCGAATCAATTGCAGACTAACGTTAGCTTGCTAGTTTTTGCAAAATCATATACCGCAGAGTATTAACAATTACTCTATTACTAACTATTTTCAATTCACAATCGTTAGGCTACAACTTGACACCGCTAGTGCAGCTATAACGAGGCACAGTTTTTCAAAAACAAAATAAAAAGTAAATTGACCAAAGTGATAGCCCCTTCAGATTGTCATATGATCATCCTCCCTCAATCATTCATCACATGCACTAAATCTCTAAAAAAACACATAAAAATACTGCTTGTTCTTTTGTTTGTTTCAGAAAGAAAGAGTTTTTGACAAGTACAAAAAAAGGATGGGATTGCGTCGTTTTCTTCTTCTTGGGGAAATAAGCGTCTCCGCAGTAGAGACCAGTCAAAGTGCCGGTTGGGCTCAAAAAGTCCACAGATCCTTCATACGTCCATTTGTAGTCTTCATTTGTGTTAAAGCCAGTTTGTGTGAAGTGTTTTGGGCAGGTTTTGTCCATAGGAATGTGCAGCTTGTTGGTGGTGGCTCAGGCCAGGCTCCGCTGTCTTGGTTTTATCCTGGGGTAGAGCTGCAAGAAAATGACACATATAATTACGTACGGGAAAAAATAAGGGACAGATCACATTTGGTATTTTCTAGTTTGTAGCAGTGGAGAAGGCTCAGATCTTCACATCAAAACTGGACCAACAGTGGCTCTCAACTGGTGAGTTGGATCGCGAGCCTTTCCATCCTGAGAAACATTTTGTCTTTGACGTTTATCTGGAGTTGTCCACAGCATTTTAATATACAAAGAGTATAATCAACACCTGAAGCTGCGTTGCGGACAAACAGGCTGAAATTTAAATATTTACAACTTTTATAAGTTGTTTTTAATGGTAGTGGAAACTAGGTCACCCATAGAAACCTCCATAGACACAAGGAGAGCATGTAAACTCCACATAAAAAGAATTTCCTGTCAACAGAAGCTGGACCACTGTGTGTTTAAGCTCCACATAATAATAAAATACTGCAAATCTGCAGTCGCCATATATTGGTGTAATTCTCGCCAAAATGCAGCAACAGTTTTGAAATGAGCAAAGCAGGCTTCCAGTGATACGTGTTTAAAAGTGTGGACACCGTACCCCCAGCAGGTTGCGTGGAATGTAGCCCTCGTTGTCGCCCGTGCGCGCCCACCACCACTCGATCTCCTCCTCGTCCTCCCTCCGCAGGATGGTCATGCAGTCTCCCTCTCTGAACAGCAGCTCGTCTGTGTTCTCGCCGCTGTAGTCCCACAGGCCGTACACCACGCCCCGGTTCATGATGCCCATCTTCTCCTGCACGCCTGCACAATACACACGCACACACACACTTCACCGAGTCTGCAGAAACAGTTCTTAAAGCCATCAAACTGGCTGAAAAAAAGCTGATCTAAACATGTGACAGAGGCCATAATTACATGCACTCGAGATAGAGGGCGAGGAATTTCTCTCTACTCTTCAAATTGTTGTTATTGCCAAAGTAAGTTTTGAAACACTGTATCATCCACAACTTTCAAGTAGAAGCAAAAGTAGAATGTGTGACAAGAAACTGACCGTAGAGAAACTGGGAGCACTGGGTGTAGCCCTCCTCCATCTCCTCACACTTATCGGCCGCCGTCTGCATGTCGCTGTAGGTCATGGCGAACACGGCGGCGCCAGACTCCACCAGGAACTTACACACCTGCACGTTATTACAGGAGGCGGCGCAGTGCAGCGGCGTCCTGAGACACACAAGGACAGACATCACATGAGAAAACGTACAGACAAAGTAGTGAGTGTATTATGGCTCCATGTACAGGTGTGCTCCTCCTTCTACACACATTGGTAGAATGTATATTTTGGATATTTTAATGAGAATATGATAGATTGTTCGGATAGAATTCTTTCCACTTATGGTTAGTGGTTGGATGAAGCCATTTAGTGTGGTCAAAGATTTTACCTTTTGTACCACACAGCGTGTCAGTTTATGAGAGTTTCTGAGGCATTGTGTTTTAGAAATAAATGGTCGAGACTTTAAAAAAAAAATGCAAGCAGCAGTTAGACCTGCCCCTGCAGCTTCCTGATCGGAAACAATTAATTGGTCCCCTAAAAATTGGTCCAACTATTCTCCTACAGCAAATATTACTGGTGAGGCTCATTCAAAGGGGAGATATTGTTTTAAATACTGTATGTATGCATCTTTCATTCCCTCAGAAAAGTGTGTGTAAAGCAGTGTATATAGTAAACAACACTGACTTTGTATAAGCATGTCCCTGTGCACAGTAACTAGCTTTGTAGAGCATTTCCAATTATAAAGAATATCAGACTTAAACTCCTGAGATCCTTACTGCATTCATTACCAATGGTCTTAATCCAACAGCAATACTTTTTAACGGGAAACAAACAGAACCATTAGCAACAACAGAGATGTTATAATGAAAACAAATGCATCCAGAAAATAATACTGTGTTTTGCTGTTTCCAGTATACGTTCACATAAAATGAGTAAGGCTGAGACCAGACCAGAGAGAAACACTAGACCAGAGAGAGAAACACTAGACCAGAGAGAGAGACCAGACCAGAGAGAGAGACCAGACCAGAGAGAGAGACCAGACCAGAGGGAGAAACCAGACCAGAGAGAGAGACCAGACCAGAGAGAGAGACCAGACCAGAGAGAGAGACCAGACCAGAGAGAGAAACACTAGACCAGAGAGAGAAACACTAGACCAGAGGGAGAAACACTAGACCAGAGGGAGAAACACTAGACCAGAGGGAGAAACACTAGACCAGAGGGAGAAACCAGACCAGAGAGAGGGAGACCAGACCAGAGAGAGCAATCAAACCAGAAAGAGGCCGGACCAGACTAGAGGGAGAAAGCAGACCAGAGATGTTAGAAGGTAAGAAAATCAATAGCAATCTTGAGATAAACAATAATAATTAATAACAATTAATTATATTTATTAGCATTTTCTTGTCAAAATAACAAAATTCATAAACACAAACAAGACTAACACAAAATGAATGTTGAATTTCTCGCTCCTAAGTCTAAGCAGATTTACTGACAGAGAAATGGTTGTGGAGCTGGAGGCTATAATAAAGAACCAAGTTGTTTAATGCACAATTAGAGCTGACGGATTCTCGGGTTTTGATGTGATTAATTTTGCAGCCTGAGGACGTTTAGACCAATAACGGTGGTAATTGCATATTGAGAGAGGAGACATGTACCTTTTAAAGAAGAAGTAATAACGTGTCAATTCTCCTGCACATTGTAAACATGAGAGTCCACGTACCATCCGTCGCTGTCGGCCGCATTAACGTTGACCCCGAACTGGACCAGGAACTTGACGATCTCTGTGTGACCGGCGCAGACCGCATTGTGCAGAGCAGTGATGCCCTCGTCGTTGGGCAGGCTGGGGTCTTCCACCTGACAGAGGGCGGTTACAATACTTTAGCATCACCAGACCAAAGCTGGAATACCTCACTCTTTCCACCATAAGCAACGCTTTTTTGTAAAAGCAAATTCTTGTCAACAAAAACATTGTAAGAAACAGACGTGATTGGCTGAGTGAGGGTGGTCTGAAAAAGCTGATCTAAAGATGTGACAGAGGCTGCAGCCGCAGATACAGGCATGAGAAAACTAGTGATAGAAGTAAACTGTTCTGAGAGCAAGAAACTTGTAGATTAGTCAGATCACATTGTAAAATATATGTCGGTTCCAAAACTTTAAATGGCACTATTTGTGAGTGTGTTCAAATATCTATCAATCCATTGGTTTGAATAGAAGAGTCCATAAATTAGATTCTATGATTAAAATGCACTTAACCAAGAGTAGATGCAGTTTGGAGATTAAAATCATGAATAAATGAGTAGACTCATGGTAAAGATAATTTAAAGACTAGGAATAGGTTCGAATCTATGTTGAGATCCCCTAGACTCACCATAGACTTGAATTATCAATAGTCAAATGAATACATTATTTTATTACTCTAGATCAGGACTACTCAACCTAATTCGTACACAGACTTGTAATCAGCCTATAGTCTTAATTTCTACAATTTGCAAAAGATATTCAAGATTTTATTACCGTTTATGTATTGTTAAACTAAGTAATGATAGCTTAAATATTTCTGCACTTATTATAATGGGAAACCTTTAACAAAACCATTTTTAACCATTTTAACTATCCCCCTGTCCTCATTTGAAACCCGCACTAAATCCCTGTGACTCACTTCGTAGATGATTCTCTGGACCAGGTCAAACTCTCCCTCCAGCGAAGAGTCCAGCAGCAGAGCCAGCGGGTTGAACTTGACCCTCATGCTGTGGTCGATGCGCTCGGAGCCCAGTTTGCGAAGGTTGGTCCTTTTACCCTGCGGCCACAACAACCATAACTCAAACTGGAACAACTGAGCGACTAAAGAGCTACCACAGAAACCAGCCCAGAGGAAGGAGCGAGTAACTTTCCAGCAATTATTATTCCGCTGCTAATCTACGACGGGAACAGGCTGTACTCCACAAATATTTCCCAGTTAATCAAAGGCTTATGTAACCTCATTAAGATGTCTTTGCTTTATGAAACTGGGTGTGAGAGAGGGTGAAGTGGGTCATGGATCGGACTTTTAGTCACACCGGCTTTCTGGGTTAAAACCAACTCAATCCAAGAGCTTCTTGAGGAGGATTATGGGAAAGTGTGTTTATTTTCAACACACAACGGCTTTTGAAACCTGAGGTGAGAGGCTTAGCATTAACAAACAATACGGATGCTTTCCATGATTACCAAGTTATGCAATATTAGGGCAGGTCACAGGTTTATTCTATTGCCAAAATGTTTAAGTTTTTAGATCAGAATTTATTTTTCAAGTTCATGGAAAACAGTAAAAATACATAAAATAGAATGCAAAGTGTGTCTATTTTCTCACAATTATCTTTAAGCTGCTTGTTAAATAGATTTGATTGCAGGAGCAGCAATTACATCCTTTAGTTGGAGAATATAAATAACTAACCTTGCCTGCAAGCTGAATTCTCGCGGTATTTGTGAGTTCACAAACACTCGAGAATACATCTTGTACCGCTCCCGCTTACACTTTTCGAGTCGAACCACTGGGTGTGCGAGCCAATCACGCGCCAGTCTGGGGGTTTAGGGCGGGATATCCGGGTTTGACGAAAGCAAGAAGTGCCGGGCCGAAGCAAAACAAACATGGCTACGCAGGAGGACGGACGCGTAGCTGAGGCTATCAAGTCAGTTTTAGCAGAATCTCCAATTTCTTTTTTGAAAGATGAACAGCGAGAGGGAGAGGCGCTTTGTGCATTTCTGGACGGCAACCTTGGTAGGCGGGCACACAGCGTCACTTCGCCCAATCAGCTTGAAGTATTCTGCTGCTTATCCCTCCTTTCCCCGAAAGGATTCTCCGGGAGAAATCCCAGATTGATATCGTGGAGAACGCGTTAGAGTTCTACACAATCATCAATCTGGCTCTTGCCAGGTTAATAAATAACTCAAATATGCATGAATTGCTATTTGTAAGCAGTTACAAAGTCACAAGGGGAAAAAGGGTTTAACACTGGCTTAAGCGATGCACACAGAGCAAGTTCGAACCAAATTCTCCATAAAAAGTACACTTGACTAAAGGCACATTTATGGGGGTGTCAAAAGTAGTCATTTGGGTCAATATCTCCCGTTCTGATCCGAGGCTGGACTGAGATCTTACAGCTTTGTCTCTGATAATGTCTGTAGAATTATTACACTGTTTTTGGAGATGGGTGTAAACTTAATAAAATTTGACAAGAATCAGTTCAATGCTTTATTAGTTTGGTGCAATCAAACCCATGGATCGATGGAGAATTTAGCATAACACTCACCTCACATACTGTAAAGAAAACCTTGAATTATTGTTTTTTTGGGAGTCAATATTTTGTTGTAGTAATGTAAGTAGTAAACAATGTTGTAGTAGTCACCCACCTGTGATACTATGATTTGTAAGGGTAAAAGTTAGTAAATAAGTAGTTTATATTAAATCTGGGGTACTTTGTTCACAAATAATGTTTTTGTCTCAACTGAAAGTGTGTAGTAAAAGTAAAACAATGTAAACAAATCCGATCACATTCACAATTCATCTTTTTGATAGATTTTGTTACGTGAAAGTCAGTAAGTGCAATAGATTTTCTGATAAAACTGAAGTTACCGTCATATATATTGAGTATTCTTTGATGCTCACCGGTGGCAGAGTGACTTGTCCCGTGACTTCCGGGGCTTTCATGCTCTCCTCGCTCTGGCTGTCCTGTTCCGCCCCGCTGGGATAGGGAGGGGGCGGGTAGGGTGGGAACTCCTCCAGGAAGCCCTCTGGAGGTGGGGGAGGAGGGGGCATACTGGGCACCTGCACGTGGATCTCCTCCCCGGCAGAGGAGGGCGGAGGCGGTGGGGGGAAGGCCACATGCTCTGGCCGTGGCGCTGGGTGGCTGGGCGGGGGCGGAGGGATGATTTCTTCACCTCCTAAAAGATGAGAGGTGGGCAGAATTTAAACTCAAGGAAGATTTAAAAGGTAGGCTTTTTTATTATGGTAAAAACACCACAATTGTTTGTCTGCTTATATATAAATTACACACACTTATTTCAGAGAGTTATGAATATACAGCCAAAACTAAGCCAAAAAGTTATCTATTACATCCATCTAAAAATGCTTTGGAAAAGGCCTCCCTTATGCCTCCCTGGGTTAAAACTACATCCTTTGTTCATAATTGAGACTGTATCGTCTGAACTTTTTATGTTTTTACTTGGATTCTTGTGGTTGTCACTAGAGCACAAAGCACCCTTGTCATTTCCATGAAACAATAAAACCTCGCTTCAAAATACAATGTGGATTAGAAAGGAGTACCCACCTCTGCCAATAACTATCGACGGCGTGGTGACCGGTTCTGGGCGAGCCGGCTCAGTGGGCGGGGCTTCTTCGACGTGTTTTGGGTGGCTGTCGTCCTCCCCGTTGACAGGGACGGGAGCGCTTTCCGGCATCTTCTCCGGCTCCATAGCGAAGGCCGGGGTGGTCGGAGTGACTGTCGTCTCCATGGCAGCCAGAGTGGTTTTCTGATAGAGCAGTTTCTGGATGTTTGGCCCGGCTGGTCCCTCGGGTTCTGTGATGGAGCTGCGTTTCTTCAGCGGTCTGGGAGCGTTGTAGAGCTTCTTCCTCAGCGCCTCCAGGTCGCCGTCGCTCTGGTGGCGGTACGGGTTGGAGATGAAGGGGAGCAGCTTGGTGGGGCTGAGGGGCCGGGGTATGCGCTCAGTCTCGGGGTGGGCAGGTGTCTGTGCGGGCGTGGGGATGCTGTTGTGGTCCACCTCGTTCTCAGTGGGAGAGCGGCGGTCCAGGTATGGGTTCTCCGGGTACTGGGAGCCCGAGAAGACCGGTTTGCCGTACACTGGAGAGAAAAAGTTTCAAGAAGATGTAAAAGCACAGTGAGCACAAGATGAAATTCAAGTTGAAAGGGGAATGATCTACCGACATTAGTGAAGTATTACAACAAATCTGTTTAATCTTTTTGCTTGTTTTTGAGAGTAAGTTCTATGAGTTCTGAAAGGCAGCTCAAAGCATTTAGCAGAAAATGTATATCCATAGTCATTTTTGTAACAAATATAATTATAAATGGTGTTATGTGGCACAACCTGCATGTTAAAGACTGATCCAGTCGGATCTCAAAATCTAAGCAGGGTTAGGCCAGGTTAGTACTATGATGGGAGTCTTTGAGTGACATGAAAACCGCTATGCATAATATATGATTTAGGCTTTGTCTCACAATAAAACAATTTTACAATTTAAATCTTGATTTTGTCATCCAATCATCCTAGGGATAAATGATGTATGCCCATGCCTGTGTATGGTATTATCACAGTAATGCAGCTCATGGTGCAATATTCAATGCTGCACGATATTGGAAACACTTTAATAGCAATACATAGGCAATATTTTCCTTCTCCTAAGAAACCAGTGTGCATCTTGGAACTGCCACACTGCAACCTAAGAGCTGGTCATTCCATATAATGAGACAGCTCACACATGTTTATCCCAAGTATACCCAGGAGGTACTGGTTATTTTTTCTGTCCATTGGCCTATAACATGAACAACAGATGGCGGAGAATACAGCACAAGCTGCCTCTCCGGTCACTGAGCTGTAAGCCCCGTTAACCCCGTTAGCCTCAAACGTACCGCTGGTGAAGCCATTGGTGCGGCCTTGTGCCCGGCTCAGCGCCCCCTGGATGCCGGACTGCTGCGTGTACATGGAGTAGATGGAGTTGGCGTCCAGGGTCTTTGGTTTGCCCATCCGGTCCTTGGGGAGCTCCGGAGTGAAGGGCCTGACCGTGGCGGCGGGGGGAAGCTCCTGTTTGGAGGGCAGGGGCAGGGTCTGGCTCTGGGACGGGGGCAGAGGGGAGCGGCCGGGGCCTGGCTGTGGCTGCTTGGTTTTGGGGAAGGTGCCGGTGTGCAGGGCCGCTTTGCCATATGGGAGGACAGCAGGGCCCTTGGGTTTCGTAGGGACCGGAGGAGGCACCTTGACCGGTTTGGAGGCGGACTGGAGAGAAGAGAACGAGAAGTTTTGTTAGCATAATTACAATAAGAAAACTTCCACATAGTATCAACCATCTCAAATATTCAAAGTCAGAAGTGAAATCACATTGTATACACAGCAAGTCTGAAGTAGAATGTAATATCTTTAATAGGGTTTAGATTGTGGCACTTACAGTGCCTTGCGAAAGTATTCGCCTTTCAACATTTCGCCACATTTCAGGCTTCAAACATAAAGATATAAAATGTTAATTTTTTGTCATGAATCAACAACAAGTGGGACACGATCGTGAAGTGGAACGAAATGTATTGGATAATTTAAACTTTAACAAATAAAAAACTGAAAAGTGGGGCGTGCAATATTATTCGGCCCCTTTACTTTCAGTGCAGCAAACTCACTCCAGAAGTTCAGTGAGGATCTTTGAATGATCCAATGTTGCCCTAAATGACTGATGATGATAAATAGAATGCACCTGTGTGTAATCAAGTCTCCGTATAAATGCACCTGCTCTTTGATAGTCTCAGGGTTCTGTTTAAAGCGCAGAGAGAACCATGAAGACAAAGGAACACACCAGGCAGGTCCGAGATACTGTTGTGGAGAAGTTTAAAGCCGGATTTGGATACAAAAAGATTTCCCAAGCTTTAAACATCTCAAGGAGCACTGTGCAAGCAATTATATTGAAATGGAAGGAGTAGCAGACCACTGCAAATCTACCAAGACCCGGACGTCCCTCCAAACTTTCATCTCAAACAAGGAGAAGACTGATCAGAGATGCAGCCAAGAGGCCCATGATCACTCTGGATGAACTGCAGATACCTACAGCTGAGGTGGGAGAGTTTGTCCAAAGCTCAACAATCAGTCGTGCACTGCACAAATCTGGCCTTTATGGAAGAGTGGCAAGAAGAAAGCCATTTCTCAAAGATATCCATAAAAAGTCTCGTTTAAAGTTTGCCACAAGCCACCTGGGAGACACACCAAACATGTGGAAGAAGGTGCTCTGGTCAGATGAAACCAAAATCGAACTTTTTGGCCACAATGCAAAACGATATGTTTGGCGTAAAAGCAACACAGCTCATCATCCTGAACACACCATCCCCACTGTCAAACATGGTGGTGGCAGCATCATGGTTTGGGCCAGCTTTTCTTCAGCAGGGACAGGGAAGATGGCTAAAATTGATGGGAAGATGGATGTAGCCAAATACAGGACCATTCTGGAAGAAAACCGGTTGGAGTCTGAAAAAGACCTGAGACTGGGACGTAGATTTATCTTCCAACAGGACAATGATCCAAAACATAAAGCCAAATCTACAATGGAATGGTTCACAAATAGACGTATCCAGGTGTTAGAATGGCCAAGTCAAAGTCCAGACCTGAATCCAATCGAGAATCTGTGGAAAGAGCTGAAGACTGCTGTTCACAAACGCTCTCCATCCAACCTCACTGAGCTCGAGCTGTTTTGCAAGGAAGAATGGGCAAGAATTCCAGTATCTCGATGTGCAAAACTGATAGAGACATACCCCAAGCGACTTGCAGCTGTAATTGCAGCAAAAGGTGGCGCTACAAAGTTTTAGCGCAAGGGGGCCGAATAATATTTCACGCCCCACTTTTCAGGTTTTTTTTTGTAAAAAAAAGTTTAAATTATCCAATACATTTTGTTCCACTTCACGATTGTGTCCCACTTGTTGGTGATTCTTGACAAAAAAAATAATTTTTATATCTTTATGTTTGAAGCCTGAAATGTGGCGAAATGTTGAAAAGTTCAAGGGGGCCGAATACTTTCGCAAGGCACTGTATCTTGAACAATTTCCTATTCCCTTCTCATAAATGTTTGAAATGGTCAAAATTAAGGTCTGGAAGAGTCTTCCAGAAAATGTGAGACAGCCTTCTAATCCAGGTTAAAAACACACTGTGATTATTTATGTTTTCAATGTCTTGTTTGACTGTTTCTAAAACAATCAAACCCCTCCCATTATTAAGTTTTAAAGAAGTTGTTTGACAAGACAAGAAGTAAAAGAATAATATCCTTTAAACTAAATGGTGCCTTAAGAAACCAACGGATACCTTACAATAGAATAAATAATAATTTATGAAGCTACAGATCACATTTTAGAGCCCCATCCCATGTGCCCTTGAGATAAATTAACATCAGTAGAAATGATAATGAAATTGCTTTTCTAAATCTACATCCAGTAGATAAATATATAAAAGTGATTTCTGGAATACAAAAGAAATGTACGAACCCAATGCAGTTAATATTTCAATCTCTTCTCATTAGTGGGATTAATTTCCATCCCAGCCCTATTAATGACTCACACTGCCTCACACATCATTCAGGACCTTCACTTAAATCTAGTTTTGTTGCACAGAAATGTTCTGTCTCATAGTAATACAGTATATAGTATTACAGTTTTAGATCACACAACTTGACTCGTGCCTACACATACAAAACAGGTTCTACCCTCCTTTTACATGCGTGCAGTTTGTGTCTTTGCGGTATCATCCTGAAAGATTCGTTTTCATAAATAACTAATGAGACACAAGCAATTCCTGTGCATTTGCAGCGTTCACAGATCCTTCTCACTCTGCAATCCAAGACCACATTTATTCTACATGTAGCCACAGCATTGAGTCTGGATATAACATGTATTTGATTCAGTTTCCCACCTGTGCGTCCCGGACCAGGTCGTCGCTGCTCTGGTTCTTGCGGAGGGCGTTGGCCTGGAAGTCTGTGGGCTCAAACATGGAAGCTGGCCGGGCCTTTTTGTCCCTCTTCAGCTCTGGGTCATCTAAACAGAGAGTAAAGAGACCAAAGTCAGTTTGCTTTCACATGATCAGAGTCTGTAATAACAATACTGTATTTCAACATTATCAAATTAAGAGTCTAACTTTTCTCATGGCTTTTGAAGACATTCCAAACTCTCAAATCTAATGCTCCAGGCCCAGAGGCTAATGATGCATGTTACACATTTCTTTCACCTGCAAACTTGACTCTCCCTTATCCAAGACCAGTACGGTTGTCAAGCCATGGCTTTAGAATAATGTATCGAAATCCTCCTTGCTAAATATCATCATGGTCTTTACATCATAATATGATTGTGTTTTTACTTGTATTGCAGTTTTTAGGACAATGGATGCAATTTAGCTACTGTGCTAATTCCAGCATATTTATTTTGACGCAGTTTGCGGACACATTGATTATTATGTACTGCCCTAAATTGAAATAAATAATTAAATGAATAAACTATTCCTTGTAGAGTGTACTGCACTTCGGGCTCTTGAAGATGAACGGATCCTGACCTTAATTTCACAATTTTGAACTTGTCTCAAGTCTTCTCCATGAATACTTAATAAAATCAAATTAAACTTTTTGCCCAGCCCTAGAATATTGTGATAAAAATGCTTGAAACTTCAAAAGTCTTGATGTTTCCATGACTTGGATTTAATGATAAATTTAGTCCAGTAGTATTATTCAAAACCAGTTAATAAGAGCGACTTCAACACACAATGTCTTCAAAGCGACTTCTATGACAATTTAGTTCACTCTTTTATTCTTTTAAATCAAAAGTCTGCATACCCAGGTCTGGTGTGGGGGTGCTGTGTGAGGGCATTCGGGGCAGTGTGGACGCAGAGCCACGGCTGCTGATGGAGTTTGCATCGGGACCAGAGGGACTCCACTCTCCGTGCTTTGATGATCCTTCAAAGAAAAGGGAAAAAGTTACCAAAACATTGCATTGATATTAAAAACAAGATAAAAAGTTTGTTGTCTGAAGTAACGGGTGGTAAACAGTGAGGCTTCACTTGAATTGATAAAACATCTCCTTATCCTCCCTTCTAATTTGTATGGACTGTAACGGCTTTACATTTAAATAAACTAATTATTTAAAAGTACTAATAGCTGGGGATCCACAGCAGTCTTCTTATCATCTCCTTTTGATAAGAAGAGCCTTCTGAGTGACCTTTTGATTCTTTGGGCTGAGAACTGAATGTCTGACTGAGGGTGGTTCTCTATTTTTCACTTTTCTGTCATATCTTTAGATCAACCTTTTCAAAGATGTGAAAACTAGAGCCAGGAAATACAGATAGTTCCATTCTATCACATAGTTAAAACTTTGAGTGGTTTAAAATTCACTTTACCAAACCGGTCTTGTTGGAAAAAAAAAGTTGATTTAAAAGGTAAGTGCACGGAAGGAGGTATTTTGCAAGGATTCGGATACAGCCCAAGTCTCATTTTAGTTTTAGTTTGATCATGTAAACATTAATACAATACAATAAAACAAGATCACGAGGAAGCAACTCCGCAAAAACAGAAACATAGTTTTTCTCAGCTGAAGTCACATAAAAACGAGAGATTGCACCCAGATCGCAGACACCGCACACACACGCTTCACCGAGTACCTTTTCTCTTCGCCCGCAGTTCTTCGAGAGGTTTAAGCAAGATCATGGCTTCTGATGGAGGCGCGTTTGAGAAGAGATAAAACCATCATGAATACTCTGCTTTGGTCCAAGTCCACACGCAGATGTACAACTTATAGTGTGGAAAAATGTACAAAACTGGCTTTCTCTCTTTTGTCTTTGCAGGGAACAAACGCACCATGCAGAAGTGATTGTGCAACATGCCATGATCTGAGCGCAACACGTAACTTCTGTACTGAAAATAGATGCCTGATCAATTCTTAATAACTCCACATGTTTTCTAAAAGGGAAAGACTCATTGTAGAGACAAACACACAAGGAGAAGATTCATGGATTAACTGTAGAGCAAATTATGGAGAAAGTCTCACTGCAAAGAGGATAAAAACACAGCAAACAGAGCAGAGCGGCGCTACCTTCGGAGCTCAGAGTCACGGCACATTCTGAAGACTCACAATCCTCTGACAGGACGCAGCACAAACACAACACAATGTCACGCTTTATTCTATTCCTCATCTATGTTTTCATACATTTTAGTACAAAGTGAAATTACTATGTTTTTGCTATAGTGCTGAACAGAGCCTTTTACATCCCGAGACCCGAATAGGTTTGAAAGTCAGACGCCCAAGTGTTCATTGCCAGATACTTCTTTAAGTGTTCTGCCTTTTAATTTATGAAAAAATTATGATAATAATTATGCAAAATTATTTTTATAATAAGTAAACTAAAGATAATTTTTAAAAAAGCTTTCATGAGTAGTGTTGGTCGATTGTAATCAATAAAAAATGTGATCAATCTCAGATCACTGATGATAGTTGTGGTTTCATATTTGCATTCCGCTCCCATCAAGTTAGGGAATACTGAAAACGCTCAGCTTTACAGTCAGATATATACCATTTACACATAATTTAAAAGACAGAAAAAAAAACTAATTTACTATCATATTACAATAATAATATGCATAAGAATAATAATAATAATAACTACTGGATAAATCCAAATAACTCCAAACACATATGTTCCTCTCCTCATCAGTGCTGTGTCCTTACCGGTGGCAGCCTTTCCCTGGGGCTCGTGTGTGGGCAGTGTGGCCGTCCCGTCAGGGTAGGCGGGCTTCACCAGCAGGTCGCTCCTGGACGGTCCACGGGGCATGGTGGAGGACTGGATGTAGGGCCCCACGGCAGCCACACGAGAGGGGCCGGACTGCTGCGGGTTCTGGCCTTCAGACGGCAACTGAGCACAGGGAGAAGGGCAGGAGTCAGAGTGTGGGCTGTTAAGTGATGGCTAAGTCTGAGCTGTTTTAGGGCGGCAACTAGATACTAATGTTCAAATTGATAAACAACATTTGGGATTTTGTAGCCATCGCTGTTATATCCCAGTCATACAAGAATATGGCATGTGTTGTACTGTTCAGAATATAAATACCAGATTAGCAAATTATCTTGCAATTACAATGTATAGGTTAATTTAAGATAAGAGATTCTTTATTGAGCTCACAATAGAGAAATTGAAAACTTTTGTGTGACTTAAGTACATTTTAGAACATTTACCTCCACTGTTGAGAAAAGCTTCAAAATGGGACAAGGAACAAGTGATGTATATTTGGTGGTGACTACAATCAGTATGGATCCAGGGATTATTTGAAAAAATTAAACTGCACTTCTTGGCGGATATTGTTACGAGTGGGTTTTTTTTTTCTTACACCTTATAATATTACAATATAAAGGGTCTCAAATGTAATATTTTTATCCTAGAATCAAAGCAAACTGCTGTTATTAAATATACATTACATCATATCCTTATATCACCAAATATGTAAATATCACCAAAACAAGATGGTAACTTTACGATTTGATCCGTTTAAATTATATTCTGCCAAATTGGGAAGATTTATCATACATTCATAAAGTCTTATTTGAAAACAGACAAGTTAAATATTGTAACAAGGCTAAACAGATTTGCCACATTAACACAGCACAAATCCTTTTGCAGTTTTATGTAAATAAAACAAAGTCAATCCAATCCCACCCCTCCCCACGTCTCCTTACATCACTGAACTATGGAGCAGTCAACAATTCAACTAAACAACAAGCCAGATTTGTACAATATTTATACAAACAAAATATTTCAAAGCAAGAAAATGGGACTGAAGCCTCGAGCGTCCAGTCCTGGGTTAGTTACCTGCAGATGAATGTCTTTTGCTGCCCTCTCTCTACCAGGGAAGCCATTCTTAAAAGACAAGAAGCACAATATGCAAAAGCAGTTCAAAAAGGACCCATCTCAACAGCCCTCCTCCCTAAAGTGTTCGGCTCCTGTCCCCGTCCCTCTGCAGTGTGCTTGTTGACATTTGGACAGCTTGAATGCTCGTGTCTTTGGAGGCGTTTGAAAAAGACTTCATTATGATTCAGAGCAGCTCACGGTTAGATCACCTTCTTCTTACCATGTCTATGTCGGAACGCGAGAGTCTGACGACGGATTGTGCCGAGGCAGAGATCGCACGCTGCTCTTTATGTGGGGTTAGGAACAGCTTGTCTTATCTTATAGCTTCTGAAGGATCGCTGCATCTTGATCAGTTATGCACACGCTCTCAGGGACCTCCAGAGTTTGTTTATAAAGTAAACATTGTCGGCTGCATGTTAAGTAGAATATTTTAGCATAAGCAACAAAGGAGAAAAAGTTTACTAAAAAAAATCTACTTTATTAAACTAGTGTAGATTTGATATTGTGTGTGTGTCATTAAAAAAAAAAGTTTTATATAATTATTATTGTATGTTAAATTAATAATATTTTGTTTGTAAAATTAAAAAATGTGTGTTCATTATTTGACTTGAATAGTCAAATTGTATTCATTTTTGTCTTACAAAATTTTACATGTTTGTAGCAGAGGCTATTTCCCCCAAATGAAATAACGAGAAGAGCCTATTTTTAACGTTGTCTTCTTGGTTATTATTTTGGGGGGCCGCGAAGACCCGTCAGATTTTTAAGGGGGCCGCGGTGTTACTGACTTTGGGAATGGCTGAGCTATGGTATACTACTTTATTAACCCCATGAGGAAATATGTCCCCTGCATTTTCACCCATCCTTCAATGCCACTGGACGTTACATTTTTATAATACTTGGCCTTCTAGACATTTTTGATTCGTAAGTCATTTCCTAAAACTGAAACCTCTTTGGGGCCTGTAAAGTGGATGTCCAGGTTTCCAATGACTGTACAAAGCACTCCTCCTTCTAGATTGACAATTTTCCATTTTATTTTGACGTCCTGAATAATAATAAATATGACAAAAACTTTTGTTTGACGATCTTTAACTGACAAATTCCACTATGATTTCCAATAATGTGTACAGTACTTTATTTTTGGTCAAATTCAAAAACTTTATATAATTGTTTGTTTTTAATGATTTATTGACCCTGTGGCTACCGTGGGAAAATAAATAAAACATCATTTGAATTCACTATTATTGAATCATAAGTGGGTTTTTTTTAAGTTCTGGAAATAACTCATCCATATATTGACCGTGACATTCTGATTTATTAATTCTAAAAGTTCTAGATCCATAGAGCAGCTTTTCACGCAGAATAGTGGCTGAGGGAGGATTATCCACAAAGATTTTCTTTTATTTTAGTATAGAGTTATTGGTGATTTATCTTGTGCTGCGTTCTCCTCATTCCTACTATTTTGCAAGTGGTGATGCAACACTGAAATTTATCCACGATGGGATCTCTTAATCTTAATCTTACTCCTGCAGCAGCCAATCAGCTCTCAGCGCATATGCAAATAACCGAGTTTACAGCATACATTCTTGGGGCAAAACTAAACTATGAGCATTGAGCACGTAGCCCTAATTATTCAGACAATTGTAACTTTTTCTGTTTTAAAAGATAATGGTTTTTGTTCATGTACAAAAACATGTGAGAATAATTAGCATAACAATCATTTAGTGAAAAGACAGAAAGTTAAAGTTGAAGTCGCCTGAAACCCAATTATTTCTCCAAGAACGTGAAGTGATTTGGCGGTCACTCTCTGCCCCTCCCCCTGTGGCCGCAAGGTCAATTTTCATTTCAACCCCTTCATGATGAAAGCCTTGTATTCAAAGGAACAGTGGACATGCAAATCTCCAGTAGAGTCTACAGGCTCATTCACACTACACTTCCAAAAGAAGAAAAAGAGAAAATGGGGTGAAATTCACAAGTGATAAATGACTCTCATTAATTATTGCCACAGAAGACAAAATGGGGTTTAGATGGGACTCTGCTCAGTTGAAGAAAGTAGGTTATCCGTCTTTCTACTTTCGTGACAACTCTGAACAGATAACATCTCCCCAGAAATTCCTCCCCGTCAGCAGCGATGGACATGCTTTCCCCTTTCATCTCCAGCTGGTTTTGTGCCAAATGGAACTTGAATACAGCGAGCGGATGGTGAAGAAGCCAGGTGTGTGTGACCCACTCAAAACAACACCGATACTTGAAGATGAATGAGAAAAGTCAAAGGTGCTTTAGTGTTTTTCAGCCTTACATTGGAGTGTGGCAGGTCTGTGCTGACGCTCTTCTGAGGCTTGGGGGGTTAAGGAGATAAACAACAAGTTTCAGGGTATAGCCAGCAGAGGGAGCCATTTTAAAATAACAACACACGGTACCAAGGCATACTGTTATGAAAGTTTTAACATTGTAATTAAGGCAGGGCAGCTTCTGGGTTGGAAAGGTCAAATTTAAGACTTTAACGTGATATAGGTCACATTTTATATCATCAAAAGCTAATTATAAGTGGATTATGTATTTTCTAAAACCTAAAATATCCTCCTATACTATTTCTGTACCACTGCTGCTCCGATATCATTGACTGGCATAATGGGGGCTATATCAAATTACAATGAACAAGGGACAGAATCTTATGTTCTGAAAAGGTCTTTTTGTCACATTTATAGATTTTAAGACCTTGAATTTGGCTTCATCAATTGCATAAAGGTTTTTTTTATGATTTCATGATTTATAAGTAAAAAACACTTTTGATCAAAAAAGATTATGTGTCAAAATAGTTGTTGGGTCAAAAGTTGGGTCATTAATTGGTTAATCAAAAGTGCGAGTATCAAATTTGCGGGTAATCCTGAAATTCTAATTCTGGAGGGAAAATAAATAAACCAATGTGATTTTTTTGGAATAGCTCATTGAATAGTTCTTATATCTGTCATTCCATTTGATTCTCAGCCCTTCAATTAAAAATAAAATCAATTTAGAAAAAGAAAAGTCAGATGTTTTTTCCCTTTTGTATTTTTACTTCTGTGATTTTGGACCTGGATTGTCTTGAGACGCAGCTTGTGTGTTTTGGTGCTTACCGGAACGTTCTCCTTCTGTTGCAGCGCAGCCTTCTTCTTGTACAGTCGATCCCGGAGCTCGGTGATCCGCTTGTCCATGGCCGCCACCTCCAGGTTCCGTTTGTTCAGACTGTCCCTCTGCTGCTGCAGCTTAGAGTTCTGCTCCTGGTTCAGTTTGTTTCTCAGCTGTGGAGACAGAAAACAATCGTTATGAATAAATATTTGTTATGGATAAAGATCGAGGCAAAATGGGAGACTTTGGTGTAGTTATATTTTGTTCTGAGCTCATGTGTGCTTCACAGTTTCAGTGCTTCTTTTCAACAAAGTAGTGAGTTACAATAGAAACGCAACAAAGCTAAATACGATAGATCAGATGAGACAATATGAACAACCCTTTTGTCCCTCAGTGTGGAAATGTGTCATCGTTGTGGAAATTACACAAAAAATTACAGGACAAATAAGAGCGATCAGGTTATGCACACATCCAACATGATCTATTATTTAAGATAATAGATCATACATAGATAATAAACAGATAATAAACTCTTGAGGGATAATTGCACTTGAGTCAAAGAAAAGAACACTTATGCAGTATACTGCAGTTAGCAGTCAGGAAGATTCATGATTACAGATGGTTAAAATTGTACTTTAGCAGCAGAGCATATGAGCAGAATAAATTATAATAGCAGCGGGAAAAGGGATCAGAGCTGTAAGCTCACATTTAAATACAAAAAGACAATAATTTGTGAACAGAAACATATCTACAGACAATAGTAACAGACTTCAACAGGAATGACTGGGCATTAATAAGACCTGTGATGCAATAAACTCTTTAAAAACAGGAAAACTCCAGAACAATGTGAAAAATTGTTTGGCAATACAAAACATTTATTCAATTCAGTTAAAAGATCTATGATAGGTTTCAACTTTGTCGGACTTTACTGTCCGGAAAATGTTCACAACTGTTCAAACGTCTCACACACCTCCAATGAACGACCCTCCCCTCACCTGCAGCTCCTTGTAGAGGCGGTCCAGCTCGGCCACAGACGACTGGCTGTCATGGAAACCCTCCATCTTGCCACTTTTGAGGAGCTGCAGCTGGCGGCTCAACTCGTCCACCTTGGTGGCAGCGAGCACAAGCTCCCTTTGTTTCTGCTGGAACAGACTGTTCATCTGCTCGATCTCCTCCACTGCACACAACAACAGAAACACAGATGTTGCACTTTAGTTTGGCACAACTTTTTTTTGGAAAAGTTACTTTTTGAACAACCACATGTTCTGATGATTTGTGCTATTCAATGTGGGGCATAGTTTGACAGTAAAGGCAACCACTTACTTCCTGCTGGTTTACAGAAAATGCAAAAATGTGGCAACAATGACTGGAAAAGCAACAACCAAAACAAAGAACAGGAACAGTAGCAGAACACTGTTTGGGAGTGAATGAAAGAAGAACCAGCTCCTACTAGTTCTGAAAATCATCGCTCTTGTTGCCAGCTATTCAGAAAAATCAGGACAGACACAGAGTTTATGAAAACATGTGGACACATCTGCTCCACTTTCAGGAGTAAAAAAAAAAAGAAGTTACACACTTTGGTCCTAAAATATAATTATGAACATTTAGTTTGGCGCTTTACGTTTTAAAATGTCATAATTTCTAGAAAATATTTGGATGAAAATAACTGATCTCAGCTAATTCCCAGGAGAAATTTAAGTTTGATTTAAAAAGCAAAAAAAGCAGCTCAGATCATGATATAACAGTGTAAGGATTACCAGGAGTAGCAGGAGACAGAAGGGGTGGGGGGACATGCATATTAGCTTGGATGTTTTTGATCAGGAAAAAACATTGTAACATTGTCAAAAACCAAAAGCCATTCAAACAGAACAGTGGAAATGTTGGCCAGATCGCTCCATGTTGGGGACTCACCCAGCTTGCCATTGCTGAGGCGCTTCTGCTCCACCTGTCCCTTGAGGGCCCGGACCTTCTTGAGGCGGCTCTCCTGGTTGTCTATGTTCTCGCGAAGGCGCTGCAGCTTCTCCTGCTCAGACGCCTGCTGCTGCTGCCTCTGCTCCTGCTGCTTCAGGTACCGCAGACGCTGCTCCTAGAAACACGTCACATTAACACACTCGGACTGCGGACACAAGGAGAAGGACTGTAGCACTTTTCAATTTGCTTTGAAAACAAATGTAACCGGTACCTTTATTAAAGCTGAGGTACCTAACATTTTTTGGTTTAAATTAGTTGGAAAAACAAGACAAGTGTGAGTCATTATTTGACACTTTGGGCTGAGAGCTTATTGGCTGAGGAAGGGTTGTCTTCTCCTTTTCATTTTTCTATCTGCAAAAGCTGAACCAAAGATGTTTTGAGAGCAAGGAACTAATGACAATGATTGTATTACCTTGTAAAATATTTTGAGGTCTAGGTACCCCAGGGTATTTGGCAGTAAATGTAAAAACAAATTGAATCACAGACAAATTATATTTGATAGTGCTTATAATTTTAGGTACTTTCCCACTCATATTCCCATTACATATTTAAAAATAAAAAAAATGCTCGATTGCAAATTAAACCTAATATTCAAATGGTTCCCCCTTGTTTTGTAAAACATTTTGGCTCTGCCCATGTATGAATTGTGCTGTATAAATAAACTTGCTCACCATTTGTTGTTCTGCTTGTCTTAAGTAAGAACAAGAAAAGTGCATATACTTTAGTTGCTTTTGATTAAACTCGGGGTGATGTTGTAAACCGGTCTGTCCTTGGAGTAAAGTAGTAGTTTGCAGTTGAGTGAACATGACACAATTGTTGTTTCCAGACCAAACAATGAACAGATATGTTTTCTGTAGCTCGAAACTAAAGCAGAGCCACGTAACGGAATAATGCAGCATTTAAAAACACGTGCACTCTTCATGACTGACGTTTCGTGGCTTGTCTTGACGACCCGAGGCGTATCCACTAAGTGCACACACGTATGCATGTGTACACAACCCTAGCCGCATACGACAATATGACACATTCTTAACTAATAAACGGAACTAATTAACATACGTCCATCAAACAGCAACATGGTGCAAACAGCGACTTGTAAGAAAGTACTAATACGGCTGTTACTTTTGCATGTTGCAACAGCTGTGAAGATAAAAAAATTAAAAAGGTGGGAACAAGTATTCATACAAAACGAGTAAATACTTGATGACATGATTATTGACCAAAGTGTACGGATGGCTAAGGCCAGGCTATCAGAACAATTAAAGTTAAAATTAAGTTTCTTTCAATTCTTTTAAAGAAACTCTTTTTATTATTTAAACAGTTGTATTTGTACTTCTGCAAGCCACCCTAAATACTATGCTCTGAATACAGTTGACACACTTCAGTAGAAAGGTAATCACACCTGCCCTATTTCCTCTCCTTCTCGCCGTCACCACTAAATCACAATGGAGCTCTCGGCAATGAGAGCCTGAAGCCTGTGGTGATCCCAGGCCTCTCAAGTAATATTGCTGCACCTGCCACTGCTCAAAAAACACTTCTGTCGATACACGCCACGAGCTGCGGCTTTGAGCGACGACTCAATTCTCCTTTCATCTTCTCCACAAAAATCTCTCAAAATATCAGCTTTCATCAGTATAATTTGGCTCAATCGTCCACTCCATTAGTGCACAGTACCGCGTGGGGCCTCTCAGTCGTACCTTAGATGCTAGCAGTTGCTGTTGGGATTCGATCTGCTGCTGCTGCCGTGCCGCCATTTCCTGCAGTTCAGCCAATGTCATGTCCATCCGAGGCGTGCCAATCTGTTGATACGATTGCAGTTTTCAGTAGAAGGAAAAGGAAGTTTCTGGTGTTGAATTACTTTGAAATTGCCATGTGGCTGCCGCTGTAATAACGTGTCATTAACCTTCGCTTTCCCACGTGTTTAGAGGATAGTCACTGCAGATAATAAACCAGCCCAAAGGACATTTAATTTAGGCTTAACGTGAGCTGGAGTCATTTTGAAGAGGAAATAGAAGTGTTTCTTCAGGGTGGAGCACTACTAATCACGAGACTAAGATAAGATAAGATCGACTTTATTGATCTCACACTGAAGAAAGTAACATGTCACATTTGGCACAGATAGAATCACTCAGATTGTGCAAAAGACAGAAGTGTGCAAACATGTGAAAGGATAAAAATATAGTCTGCGCAGGATATAATTATGAACAATAAAAAAAAGTGGCGATAAAAAATAAATAAATAAAAAGAAGAAAATAGGGTTTCTCCAGGTTTAGACAAAATCAAGACTTTTTTGATCATTGCAAGTAAAAAAAAATAATACTACAAAAGTGTTTATGTCATAAGTTAAAGCTTTTAAGGCCTTTATAATTTGGCTGCATCAAATTGATTACCCTTTTTAACACTGGGGCGACCTGATTCGAAACCTTCGCACTTGAGTCTAGCTGGAAACCGATTTGGTATTAATAAGGGTTAGGATTTTAAGGATTCAGAAAGCTTTCCCTTACAAAAGCCTATCTTTGTCGGTCGACTAACAGTATGGGTACTTTTTGTTTATCCCAAACTTTGTCGCCCAAACTTCAAAATGTGAGTGTTGAAGACTAAAATGTAAACATAGAATTATTCAAGAAGTACTTTTTAAAAACTATTGGATAAAAGCACTTCCATTTACAGAGCAAACACATGTCTTAAAATGGTCAGGTTTGGTCAATGGTCAAGATCCGAAACATTCAGCTGAATATACATTTAGAAAAAAACAAAGCCCCATTTCTAATTTCTAATCAAATCAATCCTGAAATAGGATTCTCCCAAAAGGTCTGATTGGAGAATACTATGAACAAAAACTAATATATACTAACAGTGAATTACATAAGATGGTTGAAAAAAACTCACCCCGTTCTCCATCCTTCTGTCAGGTGGCCCTTTTACTCCATTCCTTTTGGGCTCTGAACCTCTGGAACCGCCTGATTCAAAATACAAAAACAAATACTCAATGACACAATCACTATTCCGCAGTTCGGGAGAAAAACAACCTTTCCACTGGCTCTTCCCCTTTCTCTGAGCCTGTCATGCTTTGGTACGGCCGCGTGGTGCCTGGCCTTTAGCAAGAGCAGATTACTGGAGTATTGAAGGGAAAAAAGCCCACTGGTGAATGATCTAAGCTCCGCGGGGAAACAACGGGATCAGTGTTCTTTGTGACTTGCGGTAATCTCCGGGTTTAGACCACTACATAACTTACAATGCTGCAGTAAAGATATACATGTAGGTTGTGTTCATAAACAGACCCAGGCTCCCGGGCGTACACGGGACAGGCAATCTATATCCTCATCTGTAAAGCCCCGGCCCATAAGCAAAGCCTGTTAGCTTACATAATGGTTTTACTTGCCCTTTGACAAACAGTGCGATCTCTGTGGTGTTGTGAAATGGGCAGCAAGGAAGCCACAACAAAGGATTGTTCTGGAATTTCATAGTTCATATATTCTCATTTTATAGCCACGGAATAAAACAGCTGCCTCATGACTCAAGAGAATGGCTTGTCTTATTAAGGGGACCATTTATAGCCGCTATGATAAATGATAAATTCTAATATTGGGATATTGAAAATTCTACACTAAACAAGGTTATTTAAGAAGCTTATGTTCACTTATAGAGAATATGTGCTCTATTTGTCTATTGTGGCTCAGAAGTCAAAAGCAGGAGGAAGGTGTTTGGGTTCAGTTATAGCTGCAGTTATATATCTATTCACTTATTTTTGCCCAGAATGACTCTGCATTTTTCACAAATCCACACAGTGAAGAATAGTGGCAGAACTAAGGAGCAACACACACAGACATTTATTGTTAAAGTCTTGATTTTGTACCTGGATGAAATGTAAAAATATACAATATATGACTTTTCATATAATCCCTTTCTTAATTACAAATCATAAAAGATTTTCTCGTTTCAAGATATTGAAAGCAGAATGCACCTGTACTCGCAGACACCAGGGAAATAATACTTTAGTATCTTTGAGAGCTGGAATCACTTTGTTATTACCTCCGTTAGGGCGAAATGTTCTGAACAGATATTTACAGAATGTTCAAACAGCCTGGGAAATTGAACAAATTATGATGTTGGAGTATACATGCAACACAAAATCGCACACTATAAAAAAGCGAGGCGGTGAATAGTGAACCGCTTTACAGTGAGCAATCATGTTTATCAAAACCATACTCAAGACATGACCATCAGATTATAAATAAGATGAATCTCCCATCTTTACAGGCGTGCAAGTGATGCAGCACTGGTAAAGTGGCCAAAATTATTCTGCTTTTAACTGAAGAACCATAACATTATATTACATTACACTACACAGAATGTTCTGGTAAATGCTCTCTCCTGCATCCGCAGCACTATTTCCACAATGTTTTTTGACTGAAACTAATCCTGGTCGAAGAACAAAGCCAGACAAGGCCAACATAATAGGGTGTAGACAAAAATGAAAGTCTCGTCTTGAAAAGATGCAAGCTAAGCTCCGCAGTGTGGGAAAGCAAGATGTGGCTAAGATAACAGGATGAGAGAGCAGACTTGTAATCCCTGAGCCAGACTCCTGCTGAGAGGGGTAGTGGGGCGCACTTATGTAACTGCGGGCAGAGAGGACCATGAGGAGAGGTACGAGCTTTACTGGGACTGGAGGGAACTGGACGGATAAACCAATGCATAATAAAGGAACGGGATAGGCAACAACACTATTGTACGAATCACAGTGAGGCCGTGAGGATAATTGTGTTAAGCAGAGGTGGTAGTTTTATGAATTGAAAATGCACACTAGTGAAATTATAAATGCTTTTTAAGATGCATCAGACAACACAATTCTTGTATATTGATATGGCTCTGTGATGAAAGTGTGATAGCTGGGTGATAAGAACACATGCAAAATATTTTCCTATTGACTCGCAAAGTAAGATCAAGCCTTTATTTTTTATGTGACCGTGTGGATTGCAAACATGTAAATATTGACGGACATAGTCACGCTTATCTCCGCCGTTCAAAGAAAAGGAACAAAAATTGGGCTTTCATGGAGTGTTTCAAAATGGCCGCAGGGGCTGGAAAATGTGAAAAAACGCATCTGCGCATGCGTCAGCCGGCACCAGTCCCATTCACTTAACGAGTGCCTTCAAAATTTCACAGCAACTAAACTAGTGTGATCCAAAAAAATTCACTCCCCTCAGCATTGACACACATGTGGATCGGAGCTTTGAGCCAAGATCCAACTTTTGGACCATCCTATAAAGACGTTTCTGAGAGGTCAGAAGATTCGTACATTTGCATTGAATAATTGGTATTGGTATGGTATTGCAAGCATGTCAGCACCCGTCATTTTGGACATTTTTGAGCCGGGATCCGCCCCCACTGATTGAAACTTGTAATTATATTTTGAAAATGGACAGTAAGTACTGATCATACAAAGCATAACAGGCATATGTCACTTTGCATGTAACGAGTCTGTGATTTGACTTACAATGTGAAACCAATATATGATACAAACAAACTTTTGAACAATACTTCCACCTGTAATATTTATGCTTCAGTGCCACAAATAATATAGGAAAACTATAATGTTGTACTTTCTTTTAAGGTCACCAAATAAAACTCAAACAGCTCTAGTGCTCTGTGTGTATACTGAGAAACTGCAGGCATGTGAGGAGTTTCACACGCTGGTGTCAGATGTCCTCAGCCACAGAACCTCCGTGTGACTCCTCCATGCTGCTTCTGCAGTGCACGTGGTCCTGGTGTTTACAAAGCACATGTGCGCTTACCCGACTCGCGGCTGGGGGCCCGGTTGTGGCGTAGGAAGAAGCGCACTTCGGATCTGTGCTGGCCCCACCGCTGCAGTACGTCCAGCATCCTCTCTCCATCTCCCACCGCACGCTCTGTCAACATGAAACAGAAAACATGTTCAAAACTTATTTATCAGGAAACGCCAGCACTGGACTGTGCGGCGGAGGGAATGCAGCCCTAAAGTCGACACTTTCAGGCCACAGAGGAAGAAGATTGGATTTATGATGTGCAGCTGGATGTCACGAGTCGGATCAGTGGACACTCTGATCAGACCATCCTTCACTGGGATTTATATCATATCAGTGTTTGGGGGTTGAAGCCATACTACATTTGTCAAGTGAAACAAACAAATTCTTTTGGTCTAATTAGAATCATGAATGAAAACTATAAAAGATTTAGTGATGTTATGAATATAAAGTAATAGTAAAGCCAATAATAAAATTTAGTGAACTATCAGACCACACCATGCGGTCCTCCATCTTATTAAGAATCAGCAAATCATGATTTGGACTGAGAGATGGTTGACTGAGTGAGGGTGGTCCTCCTTTTCTGTCTGAAAAACCATAAAAATACATACACTGGTGATGGAAGTTGACTCTCACAAGTTTTGAGAGCCAGCAACAAGTTATATGGATTTTATTATATCGCCCCATTTTTCTGTGGTATGAAAGTAAGGTACCCCAGCTTTAAGGCAGCAGCACAAACTGAATCTCAGACTTTTTCTCACTCGCCAATTGAGTGAACACACAAGTTCACTCAGTTTGAATTCTGCTATAAATCACAGGGTTTTATTGACAGAACATTAGCTTTAGACTAAAAGCCGTGATTGACCATTACACATGACTGAATGTTAATGATCCCAAACACCCCTTTGTCCAGCCGTGTGTCCCGCCGTGTGTCCCGCCGTGTGTCCCGCCGTGTGTCCCGCCGTGGCACACACAGGGCTTCAGAGCCTGGACGTGGAGCCTGTGTGCCCGCAGAGGACAGCTGGGTATAGCCAGTTGGCACAGAACCTTGTGAGGCTCTTCAGGAGAGAGCGGGCTTCTTTTAGGACACTTGAGGAAGCACTCCAGCACAATAATTGGCACTTTCCCCGGCTTATGGCACCGTCACCATAGCAACGACTGCATAACCATGGTACTTCAGTCAGATCGTGATTATTCCCCAACTCATCATGTTGGCAGAATGAGAAGGCAAAAACCCTTGTGTGACCTGGGAGAAATATGTCCCAGTATCTGTGTTTAGAACAGGGATTATGGGCCTGCTTCATTTGCATTACAGATTAGCTCTTAAGACACGCACATGTATCATGCGAGTCGACTTTATAAAAACATGTTCTCTGAAGGAAAGCCATAATTAAGGACACAAGATAAATCAGAACACAATTCTGACAGTAATGATTCAAATCCTTATATTTAAAAATAACTCTTTAGCGTCTCTGTAGCAGATGACAAAGAATGCACATAATTCGAAATTAGTTTTTTGTTGTTTCAAAAATGTTTGAAAAAACCCAGGGTACTCTATTTTCATTTTGAGTTCACACATTTTTGTATAATATCAAAAGTGAAACCCCCCTCACCCCGCTCTCAGCCCAACACATTCAATATTGACTCATTGGGCTCTTTCTTTCAAAACGTATTTTACGTAACATGTAAAATAATAAATGTCTTTAGATAAAAGACAGATTGTGGTCTGATTTGTTCGATACTTCAGGTAATATTTATGCAGAAATAAAGTTATGTACTGAAGGTTTAATTTGAAAGACATAATTGATTCCAAAACTTGTTTAATCCTATTAAATCCCTGCCACCAACATGGTATAGAGAGATTCTGACTTACCAGAGCCTCGCCACACCTCGGCCAGGTGGCAGTCCATCTCCCCCGGCTCTTTACACAGCTCCACCACGTCCCGGCACAGCGTCTCCGGGGTGACGGGGACCTCAGTGAAGTGCTGGTCATTGTTGCTGAGGTACACGGTCAGGAACATCTGGGGACAGAGAGGGCGGACGCTCAGAGGAAGTGAAGGACCGCTCCTGATGTGATCCAGGGCCTTTCATCTCCCTGCGGCCGCAGCGTGTTTATGTGCGAGCGACAGTGATAATCATAACAGCATCGTGTCTCTGTCCCGCTTCCTTCCTGTCGGTGCGGTAATAGGACGCCTGCTTCCAGAATGACATTTCAGCTCATGCCAGAGCTATGCAAACTGCTGCTGTCACCGCGCACACAGGAGACGGAGGAAGAGTGGCAGATGGTGCACGCTGGTTTATTGACAGAGAAACTGGAAAGCATAACGTTTCCCAATCCAATGCAAAACAAGAAACATTTGGAGTCTAAATTTAGAACTTTATAGAACTGTTAGAAAAGCGTGGTTAGTTGTTGCTTCGTTAATAAAGACTTGCCCACTCAGGTCAAACAAAAGTATGTGTTAGAATCAGTCGACTTTGAATGGACCGTTTGAGAATCAGAGCTGAGAAATGCTGACGAACCTCCCTGAAGACAAAACAACATTTAGCTGTCACACCTCCAGAGTAAAGGTCACCCTTCATTACAGCTGCTGCCGCAAATAACAGTCTCAAGATGCATGCAACGGTTTTCTCCAAAGGCTGCAGCAGTGAAAGCTCCAGGTCTAAAGCAGAGGTCAGACTTAACTTAATCTTTACTATTGTTGTGTTATTCAAAAAGCAAGAACCGCTTTCGACAAATTAATCTTGAAAACGTTACAACTATATAACAGAATGAAGCCGATAGAACAACACAAACCATTTGGGGTTTTGTTATATTTCATGTTAATAATAAAGATAATGATGCATCAGTTTTATATCACGCTTTTTGGACACTAATAATTAATTTACTCAGGTACACAGTGATGTTAAACTATTACTGTAACCACAGTTGCCCTGGGGCAGACTCACAGCAGCGAGGCAACCAGATTTCAGAATCTCAGGGGTGCCCTGATCCCAGAGGGAAGGAGACTATTGTAATAGATCACTCAGAGAAAACAACCAAACTCCACACAGAAAACCCCAGGACTCAAATACAGGCCCTTCTTGCTGAGACGCGACAGCACTAACCACTCCCCCACTGAGTCGCTCTCATGACAGATGTAACCCTTAAGTGATATCCTAAGATAGAGAGAGAGAAACAATGAAACCTGTTTTATAGACACTTATTCTACTCTTTGATTTCTCCATAATTAACTACCATCAATAATGTAAACCGGATGCCAACTGGAGTGCTTTGTAAACTCCTATTCTAACTGGATGGGCAGGTTGCACAGTCAGCGCAGTGTTCCGAGCTGGCCACTGAGAGTCTGTGGCTGAAAAGGGGCCATGCTGGGAATACCAGGTCAGCGGGGTCACCAAAACAAAGGGCCTCGGGGGAGTGCACAGTGCCCAACTGCCTCAAAGGAGCACCACCAGAGCATTTAACTTACTATTCAGGTGCAGTCTTAAGCCATCTGACTGACAGAGCGGGCAGGTGCAGGGCTCGCCGTGCAAAGGCAAATGTGATGCTTCGTGATTCAGAAGAGCGTGACTCAGACCCCCTGCGCTCCTTTGGGATGCAAACTACAGCCGGACATCAGTGACTCAGCCCCGCGAGAAATCTATATACAGTGGCCTGAAAAGGTATCTGAAGCATTTGGAATTCATGACATTTCTGCATAAAAATCACCATCAAATGTGATCTGATCTTTTTCAACGCGTGTCGCCTCATGCAGCACCTCCTCCAGACTGGGGCTCTGGGCACCAGGTGAAATTTAGCTGTTTTTGGCCCTTTTTTTCTACAAATTCACACCCAAATAAAGCACCTCGCATCTGTTGAAATGAAAGCAGACACACAAATAAGCTGTCAAACAGTAATCAGTGCTTAGGAGCAACATGTTTTACATACTCCATTAAAAAGTAGGCATAGAAAAAATCTGACTCAAGCCACACACGACACAAGCTAAAATTGTTAAAACTTGGCCCACGTCAGCCTTTTCACACAACATGCAGTCTACCCAGAACCTTTATCAGGTGCTCTGGCTCTTGGGGGACTCTTTCCAAGAACCTCTGGGAGCAGACTCATGTGCTGTTGACTACACATTTTACACCCATTTATTATTAAATTCCTTATTAACTCATCATAGATATTGAAAAATCAATCAATCCTTCTTTATTTCATAATAAAATACAAATGTGCAAAGAAGGACTGTCACTCGGCTTGGTGGCATCACGTATCTGTAGATCTGCTGTCCGGCGGCTCTGTTGAGGTTTATGCGGTTGTTCCCCTCTTTAGGATCTTAAACCAGCATATCAACTTATTTTTGGATCCAGTGACCTTTAAGTGGTTACTTCTAATATATATATTTGTTGTTGGGCTGTGTCATTGACCTCTGGACCTACTACCTGCAGGAGGAGCAGTGAGGATACAGGATAGCGTACAGTAAAAGCAAACATTTTGACGGCTTTTATTGCTTCAGAAGCACACTTGTTCCTAAATTAAGATATTTTTACATAAATGGGGTAAATTTGAAATGCATTTAGTTACTGGTTGCATGCAAGCCTGCTGAAAACATGTCATTCGCTCCACAGACCCCCCTTTTTCCTAAACCTGGAAGCCTCCCGTTAACCCATTTCCTCTCTAATTACTCCGGCCTGCTTCTATAATTAATCCGTAGTTGCGACCCAAACTCACAACCACCCCAGGAGCTCGGGAGGAGAGGGAGTCCGGTTTAAAAATAACTAATTTTTTCACACAAGCTGCCATCTTCAACATACTGCTAATGTGGGACGATCAAACGGCCCTGTTAATGTTTGGAGAGTCAGAAGAAAGGCAACAAACACTGGGTGAGGGGGGGAGGTGGGGAGGCGATTGTGGTGTTGGGGCGGAGCGACGACTGTGCCATGGTCTGAGAGCCAATTTTCCCCCTGCGCTGAAGTTAATGATGCAACTCTACGCTCCCGGACACTGGGTTGTGGATGAGTTCGCACTTCGGGGGTGACCTTCAAGCATGTGTTGGACAGAGCACAAATGTGTGTACGGTTAATTTGATCAAGCAGATTTACATTACGTACAGGCGAGGGAGGGTCGCAATGCAAAATGATAATAATGAAGTTGCATCTTTTTAACTATTTTTAATGTATTCAAATGATTATTTCAATATTCTCACAAAATAGTACACAACAGATGGATACAAACTGTATATACATTTCTTTGCACTAGAATATATAGGGTTATACTGTACCTTATATGTTTATTTTTTATATATTCCCTCATCTTGTGTGCTCATGACTATTGTTCTGCAACTTGTGTTGCAACAGTGACATTTCTCATTTGTAATATTAAAGTGAGAAATGATCCGTGAGTTTATAGTTACAGTAGGTAGATTTTTGTTTTATTAAACAGCCCAAAAACTTTATTTGACCTTACCTGTTTGTAAGCACGCATAGACTCATTGATATTAAGAATCTGTTTTTTTTTCAACAGTGTCCAGGCCAAGTGGCAGCAAGGTTAAAAAGAAATGTATTTATAATATCAAAACATACATATAACACTCATAATAAAAGTTGGTTTATTCAAACTCTATTATTTAAATTAAAATTAGGAAAGGTTTCATTGGGACACCAGGGATCACTGGAAAATGGGAAATCATTTTCTATACTAAGAATAAAATTCCCCAGTCTTATTATTAGCATTCTATTATGTATTCAAAATGGGTTTAACACAAAAACGTGCCGTGAGCAACATTCAGGGACTGCAATTCTCAGGGTAAGGTCAACAAAATTAGTCGTTTACGCTGACACAATACTAACATATCTTCCATCTTTTAGCGCAATTTCAGGAAAACCTTTTGGAACCCAGACATTAAACCAACTGAATGAAGTATCACTCTCTCATTTGCAATACTTTTAACCAGTGAGCGCCGCACTGCTTAATTAAGGACAACCTAAAGTTTGCACAGGTTGCACAGCGACACAATTCTGTCCTAAATTTAAAAAACTAATTAAACAAGTTCGGTGACCTAGATAAAACACAACTGTCAAGCAAAAAAAATGGTGGTGAAAAGACATGCATATGGTACTTTCGGCAGCGGACCGAGAACCAATTTGGACTTGACGAAGACAGTCTTTTACAAAAACAGTTCCAGTCTCTTTGGGTCCATCAGAGCAGTGACAAGTGGAACTGCTGACTCAAGCTACTATCTTACCTTAGAGGTGACTGCCCCGGGGAAAAGGAAACAAAGACTTCTGTGGATCACTATTACAGCGATAGAATTCTGTTCCCATCATGTGTGCGCTACGTCAAAGCCAATAGGACACACTCTGGCCGGGTTTAGAACTGGGCTGACAGCTCTGAACTGCAAACTTACAATTATAGGAAGAGATGGAGGTTACTGTGCCCACACTCCCACAATGTGAGAGCTCAGCGACAGCAGCTATAAGACCAGCGGGCCAAGGAGGAGGATAGATCATGAGGATTATCTTAAGCTCAGATATAAAAAAATGTAGCCTTCTCTGACCCAGCTCTGGTTTAGTGTCGCAAATGTGATCCAGCAGCGAGTGAGGGATTTATATGGAGAGAGCCATATTTGTTGATTGAGTGATCATTGTTCTTGATGATGCATCGTGATCCATAATTAAATACATGAATATCTAGTCTAGATTAGGGTAGTCACGGTGCAAATATTTGAGCTGATTGTTATTGTGATCGTTTTGATGTCGTTTTCAGTATTAACGCAATATTTCTATTTACCATTAATCACATACATTCCCCATTGTGAACCACATAAAAAACGATAAATAGTCTAAGTAGTTTGGTTCCATCTCTAGTTTTCACATACATGTATTTTTGGCCTCTGGCAGATCTGTATATCAGCTTCTCAGACACAAAAAAGTGAAGAAGAACTACTCTCACTCAGCCGATCAGTTCTCAGTATGTACAAGATAAAATCTATAGTGAGCTGATCTCTTAACAACATTTTACTTTTTAAAGACTGTTGGGAAA